ATTTACCTAAGTCAATTACTCAAATATAATATGCCTATTATTATAATTTAATTACCATAAAAAATAAAAGAAATTAAAACTTTTTATTTATAAAAAAGGAGAAAAAAACAAAAGGAAAAAAATAAATTATTTACAAACTTAGACTTGACCTAGGATAAAAACTTAGAGCCTACATACCTTTTAGAGGATCAAAGCCTACGTAGCTCAGAGGTATAAATGTGTGTCACTCGATTGATGTCTTTTAGAAAAAAAGTTTATTTGATTTATTTGAAAAAAGGATTTTTTGTTGGTTTTCATTTTTTTTAATTCATGAAAACAATTTTTGTATTTTTATTTAGAAAATATTTTTTTGAAAGAAATTTTGAATTAGCCTCCCTATGGAGGTTCCCATAATAACTTCACATGGGAGAATGATTGTTCGAGCTTGTGGAGGTTCTGAAAACCTCACACGGCTTTGAAAAACATTTTGAAATTATATATATGTGTATACATTTAAAAAAAGAACTTTTTATTTTATTATTCATTTGTGAACAATGGGCCAAAATTATTTCCTTCCTTTTTATTTATTAAAAAAAACTTGTGCAACCACATTGGAATTCATACGGAGACTCCCATAGCACCACACAATTTACTAATGAATCTAGACGCTTCCAGATGTTCCAAAAACCTCACATAGTACATATTAAAAAAAAAAGAAGCGCTTTAGAAAATAAGAAGAAAGAACGTCTAAAATCAATTCATCATGAAATTCAAGTCAAACACAGCAGATAGGAACAGAAATCCATACTTGATGCTCTATTTATCAATTGGATAAAAACAGAGAAGACATTATGTGATAACTTGATAAAAAACTAAATACACATATCAAACAAAAAGACATGAACAAAAATGAAATAAAACAAATAAAATAATGGAAAAGAAGAAAAAGGAGAAAGTAAGTATCAAGATGAGTACACACAAGAAATAATAGCTGGGAGCATATTTACAGAGAAAAAATCAAAGGGAAGAGGAGTAGTGAGAATCAAATACAAAAATAATAACATAGATTAACTCAAATTATATTTGATTCAACCTTCTAGCCATCAATATTGTTTAAACTCACAAATGTGATAATAACCACAAGAACCTAGGTTTTCCTTAGTTAGAGGAAAGAAGATGAGCAATAGACTTCCCCTCTTACTAGGTCTCCTCCCTCCTTCCTAAACCCATGTCATTATCATAAAATAAAATAATAGAAGAACATTTCACCTTGCCTCCTTTTTCACAGAAATATTTTGGGTCCCTTCCTCCAACCCTTACTCTCTTATTTATAGGTTCCATCTAGGGTTTTCTAATTTTTCTTTTATTTTTGTTTTTAAATTTTTCTCAATTATGAATCATAATATAACTTCCTATTTAAGTACCAAATTATCATCAAATTGTGATTTTTTATTTTTATTTTTGTTGTTTTAATTTTTCACAATAACGGTACCAAAAAATATTCCCAAATTGAGAAGCAAATCATCTTAAATGAGGATTTTTGATTTTATTTTTTGAATTCTCTTATTTTTCTTCCATCCGATATTTCCTAATTTAGAGTTCAATTGACTTTTAATTCTCATTTTTTATTTTATTGTTATTATTATAGGGAGGATATTCTTAATTTTCCCTTTTGGTTTGCTATATGTTGGACTTCTCAAACTTAACCTTCAAGAAAGAATTAAGAAGAATATTACTCTTTTCACTACAAAAATCTGGACTTTCAGCGACCACTTTCAGCGGCAACAAAGGAAGTCGCCGCTGAAAATGTGACTTTCAGCGGCGACAATTCTTGTCGCCGCTGAAAGTCAGGCCTTTTCTGCGGCGACACACTAGTAATAGTTATGGCAGCGACTTATTATTGTCGCCGCTGTAGCTGCAACTTTCAGCGGCGACAAAAAAGTGTACACTACGGCGGCGACAATTCAAGTCGCCACTGAAAGTGTACACTTTCCGCGGCGACAATTCAAGTCGCCGCTGAATGTGTTTTTAGCGGCGACTAACTGTCGCCGCTGAATCTCCTTTCAGAGGCGACTCTTCCTGTCGCCAATGAAGCTTGCTTTCAGCGGTGACAAATTGTCGCCGCTGAAAGTTTTTTCACATTTTTTTATCATTTTTTTGGTAAAAATTTTATATTATAATCTTTTATTTGTATAATTAAGTAACTTTGATAATTAATGTTTTTTTATGTATTTTTGTGTTAGAGAGAGACTAAAAGAAAGATAATATGGTGTTTGAGAGAGAAAGGGAGAGGAAGAAAGTTTGGAGTGTGTGTTTAACACACATATCCCATATCCAAATGTTTGAGAGATGGAATAGAAAAACATTATGCATGGGAGAGAAATGAGATGGAGGCATGCATGAAAAAGTATGCAAGTTTGAGTGATGGGATAAGTAATGAAGTATAGAGTGTGTGTGAGAGGTGAGAGGTAGATGTAAATATTATTGGAAGAGAGATAGTCTGTATGTGTGAGAGAGAGAAGGATATTATAATTGAAAGAGATAACATAATTAAATATATGTGAGAGATTATTATAATTAAATTAGTGTGAGCATACTTAATTGACATAATAATATTTGATGATGAACATATGTATGAGAGGATTGAGAAATAAAATCATTGAAGGAGATAATATAATTAATTAAAAATGTGTGAGAGATATAGATAATAAAATCATGTATATAGTTAATTAAATATTATTACTATTTATATTTTTTAATTTAAAATGTGATTAATTAAATTTTGTAAAACATATACGGTTGCATATTATATATATTTTCTATTGCTCAATGGTTTCAATTAAATTCATTAGCCTGGTTGGCCATGCTTGTTCATTCCAGTGTAGAGGTCTTGTGTTCAAGTTTGACAAATGTCCATTTTTTACACATTAATTTTGGCTCTAAATTGTTTTTTTTTCATTTATTTAATATTTTTTGTGGGGCTCGAACAAAATTGGGTTATCACAAATCGGGTTTTCACAAATCTATTCTTGAATAGGAGTGTACTAAATGATCTATATATGTGTGTACGCGAGCGCGCGAGGGCGATTAAATGGTGTAGTCTAACTATATAATTTTTTTTTTTAATAAGAGTTAGAATATCCTCAAACCACATTGGGCTTGAGATCAATTTTTGTCAGTCCGGAAGCATTAAGATCTAACTGCATAATTTTTATTGTTTTTGTCATCAGCTGATGGGCTTACCTTCTTTATTGCATGAGCCTCGTCAAATGCTAAACTGATTTTAGTTACAATTTCCATGCTTCATATACTTGTTAAAAACAGACCTTTTTTGTTTCCAACTAAAACTTACATGAAAGATTAATTGATTGCTTCCATCTATATCCATATATCCCTATTTAAAGGGAATTTTTGAAACAATAAAAATTAATGACGTTAATGATTACAGAGATAATTGTTATTATTAGTTATTTTTCAACAACTAACAAAACAAAGATGCATCAATTCAAAAACTTTGGTGAGCAATCTATAAGTACTTTTATAAGTATCCTCTGATCTTAGAAGCATATCTTGATCTTGATGAACTCCCAAAATTCAAATCACCTAAGCTTTTCTTAAAGATAAACGTTCTGTCTTGACATAATCACAAGCAACTGAACATGCAAATCCAGTTGGCGTTGACAAGAATGCCCATGAAAATTTTGAAACGGTGCTCCAAGAACATCATGAGCGTTAATTGGAGCACGCGTCCATTAACTTTTAGAAGATAAGCATATGAGGCCTACCATTAAAAAGTAGTGGAAATTCGCTTAAATAAACAGCATTAACATTTGTCTACCATTTTGAAATTTTTCCAGGAATGATTGCACCTAAGAAAAATTATGGTATTAGTTGTGTATTTGCGAATACTTCATTAAATTTGTACTTTAACCAATTTTATTATTCATTAATTTTTGTAAGGGTAAGGTACATTTAATACTCTAAGGTATTTTCTAAGTACCACTTTTTTTAATATAATATGGAGCCAAATTTTTTAAGTAGCACTTATTAGTATCATAAAGTAATTCTTAGAACAATACCACTCTAGTACTCATTGCACAAGTTATTTGTAGGAGCACATACGATCCTAAATATAAGTTGCTTATAGGGTTATCAATCAGAATTTTACAATTTTAACCCGATCCAATTTCTATTCAAAAGAGAAAAAGAGGTGAGAACGATTTATAAATATAGAAAAAGAAAAAAATTTAACAATGAGAAATTTGAAAAGTTGTATCAATTTAATATACTCGTTGGTAATAAGGACCAGAGCGGTATTACTCTTAGAGTATATTTTTAGGAGCAATTTTACGCTTATACTTTTAAAAATAGTGCAATTTTAACCCCATTATTAATTCTCAAGACCCAAAAGTATTGTCTTAGTTGCATGACTAACTAGCATCCAAAAATAAATTGTTAGTGCTATTTTGCCCTAAAAATTACTTCTGAAAAAAAATACTCCCTCTATTCTTTAATACAAGGCTCATATAATATTGAAATTGTATTAGAAAATCGTACTAAAAATTTTAGAAAATCGTACTAAAAATAATTTTAGAACATTGACTGTACTTTAACTCATTTTCGTAGCTAGACACTGTTTTCTTGCAAGGCCCGTTAAGTTGAATAACTCTTATATATTCCCGATATATCAAAGACATGCACGACAAAATACATGAAGTGAAAAAAACTAATCATAATCAAAATATCTTATGTGTGAAACACATTGCAATAAGCTCCATGGTAGCAATTTATAAGTGGCAAAAATAAATAAAATAATAATAAAACCAAAAAACCTACCTGCTACCACCACCATTAATTTAATATAGTATTCATTTCGTTTTGTTTCCTATAAATCAGTGCGTGAAGTCGATCTCCTTGCTTATTCCCTCAACCCAAAGCCTTTCATTAGATTCGGTTACATCCTTCAAAATAGTCTTTTCGATGCTAAAGTTTTCTAATTTTCTCGACTGTGAGTGAGAGATATGGCAAGTCATGAAGATAGGAACAATAACTATGGAGACAAAACCCACAAGAAGCCAGGCGGATGGAAGGCCGTGCCTTATATTCTAGGTCTCCCCCCCCCCCAATATATGTCTCTCTTATCTCTTTAATTAATTTAGTTTTTCCGTCTCTCTTTGGAATCATAATGTGTGTGTGTGTGTGTGTGTGTGTGTGTGTACAGGGAATGAAGTGTTCGCGACCTTGGCAGTGAATGGGATGTTTGCGAACTTTCTGGTGTATCTGACGGGAGAACTTCACATAGACACAGTTTATGCTGCAAATATTATGAGCATTTGGTCTGGTCTCTGCAACTTCGGCCCTCTTATTGGCGCCTTCATTTCTGATGCATACGTCGGTCGCTTCAACACCATTGCTTTTGCTTCCATCCCCAATCTTCTGGTATAATACATAACTCTCTGCTTTCTCTCTCGCTCTCTCTCTATATTTGTTTGTTTGTGTGTATGTGTGTGTGTGTATATATGCGTGTGTGGTGTGTATATACTACTTCCGATTGTTAATATAAGAGTTAGTTGAAAATTTAATTTGATAATAAACATAAGATCTCAATTCACCTTGTTTTTAATATTTATCTATTTTTCTCTCGAGTAATTCTTATGGTGATTACAAATGTCAAGGAGTTTAACAATGATATTTTAGATAAGATAATGTTTATTCATTACAAATAACCAATTTAATTAATTTTTTTAATATTTGTAAATTAATTATCTAGCTCTTATACTATGAATCGGAGATAGTATTTTTCCTAAATGGTAGACTTGCATCAGTGTTTTTCCTAAATGGTAGACTTGCATCAGTGCGGGTATTACTTCATCTTTTAACTGTTTAATTAAAAAGTGAGACTGGTTACTGTTCAAGGTCATGCTTTAGTCCACAGAGCGTCGCACTACATATATAAAGGTCAAGTAAGAAATGATCAGTAAATTAACATTGAACATATCTAAGCAGCGCATTTTATCATATTTTTGGGCACTACAAGCAGTGAAATGATTTCTCCATTTGATATATATGGAATATTCTTCTATGTGGGGACTCAAGTGCCCTTCAAGTTCAATCAACCAGTAAATATAATATTTTTAAAATAGCTGTAATATTCACAGGTCATATATATGATAGGATTCATCTCACAACATACTACCGTTCGGTTATTGATTAAAAAAAAAATTGCTGATATTGAAATTTTAAATATCGATGAAGTATTCTTCAATATTGACCTATTAAGTTTAATTTTTAAAAATAATAATGTTTGACATAAAAAATTATAATTAGGATTAAAAATATATTGAATATTAAAAGGTTGAATAAAAAATTTATATAAAATTAAAGGACCAACCGTACACTTTTTTATCTTTAATCAATTTCCATTCAACAATGCAGGGAATGATGGTTGTGACACTAACAGCATGGTTACCAGAATTGCACCCTCTACCATGTACACCACAACAACTAGCACAGGACCTATGTGAGAAACCCAAAAAGACTCATCTTCTTGTTCTCCTTCTGGGGTTTCTCTTATTGTCCATTGGCTCTTCTGGTATAAAGCCTTGTAGTCTCCCGTTTGGCATCAACCAGTTCGATGCATCGACAGAAGAAGGAAGGAGAGGGATCAACAGTTTCTTCAATTGGAGGTACACTATAACGAATTTGATATATTTGGTAACTCAAACTGTAGTGATGTATATTCAAGACTCTGTGAGTTGGACTCTGGGTTTTGGGATCCCTACTTTGTGTACGTTGTTGGCTTTGGTGTTTTTCTTCGTTGGTTCGAGGATTTATGTGCATGTGGAGCCAGATGGAAGTATATTGTCTGGAGTTGCTCAAGTTCTTGTTGCTGCTTATAGAAAGAGAAAAGTTGAGCTTCCTTATGATGAAGATGAAGATAAAGATAAAGATGGAGTAGCCTTCTATGATCCTCCTTTAAAAAAGGGCACTAGCGTCATGACAAAGCTACCTCTGACCAACCAATTCAGGTATACCATTTCTACTTGGTAAAAGTATATTAGCTCTAATCCTTAATATAAGATTCATTTAATTTATTTGGTTAGATCAGGAAAAGTAGTTAAATTAGCTATTTATTAAAAATATGTATTGGTTTTCCTTAAATACCCTCTTAAATCATTTGGATTGAGACTACCTTTGATGCAAAGTTGCAAACTCTCTAACATATGCAATCAGTGGGGTTAGTTTGGATAAATAAGAGGGATAATATGGATTGAAGTATTATATTTAGAATTAAATTTAATCTCAACTAGCTCTTTTATTAGGGACCAAAAGTAGTTTTTTTTAATCCTCTAACTTTAATCTATAAAGTTTTTTTTTTCAGTTCTCTCTATCTCTAACACTAAATCATTTTTTTTGTATTAATAATTGTTATTTTTTTAAAAATAAACTAAATGGTGGTATTTTTTTCAATGAAACTACTTGTAGTGTTAGGTTATTAAAAATTATTTTATAAAATAAAAAAGCAATATAAAATATTAAATTATGTAAAGTTAAAAGACGAGAGTTTGCTGCTGTGTATTAATCTAACGTAGGCTAAACGTGCAACGGCCTATGCTTTTCTGTTCCCTTTCTTCTGCTAATTTAATTTTTTCCCCTGAAAAATTGATGAATTGCAAACCTCCAACTCTTTCCATCTAGTCCTTAATATTCAAGCTAAATAACTAATGTGTATAAATTAAAAAAATACCTCAAGTTAATTATCTATAAAAATGTGTATTGATTTTTCTAAAATATCCTCATTAATTATTTATATTAAAACTCTGCTTTGATAGATGCCCCTTAATATGTATATCATCAATAGTGATAATTTGAAGAAAAATTATGAAATTGGGAACTAAGTGAATTAAGATCTTCATATTTAGGATCTTAACTAGCTCTTATATTTAGCGGGAAAAAAACAATTAATAATATAATTCTTCCATGAGAATCAGTAAGATAAGCAAGATTACCATAAGAAACTCAAGTTTGAGCTCACAAAACGGATTGTAACTTTCTTTCTTTGTTTTTTTAGGGTATTAAACAAAGCTGCTATAATAATGGAAGGAGAGTTAAACCCAGATCGAAGCAAAGCAAATCCATGGAGACTAGCTAGCATCCAACAAGTAGAAGAAGTGAAATGTTTCGTTCGAATCTTGCCGATCTGGACAACTAATATCCCCACCCTAACCTCCATAATACTTCTAGGAATATTCACAATCTCACAAGCCCTAAAAATGGACAGACACCTCGGACCCAGCTTCCAAATCCCCGCAGGTTCTTTCTCAGTCTTCTCCTTCCTCACCATAGTCCTTCGGGTCCCACTCTACGACCGTGTCCTCGTACCAGCACTTAGAAAAACTACGCACCATGAAGGAGGCATAACGTTGCTTCAACGAATGGGAATCGGTTTAGTATTCTGTGTTGTGTCCATGGTGGGAGCCGGGTTCGTGGAACAAGCCCGAAGGGGTTCGACTAACTCAAAACCTAACAGGCTCGTGATCGCGCCAATGTCGGCCATGTGGCTCGCCGTGCCGTTGATCCTAATGGGTATGTGTAAGGCATTTTATATTATTGGAAATGTTGAGTTTTTAAACAGACAATGCCCAGAACACATGAGGAGTATTTCGAATTCGTTGTTGTATTGTTCTTGGGGTGTGGCAAGTTATGTGAGCACCTTCATTATGACGATGGTTAATCATCGGACGAATTGGCTAACGAACGATTTGAATGTTGGGAGATTGGAATACTTCTACTATCTCATTGCTGGGCTTGGAGCTTTTAATTTGGGTTTCTTCTTCTTCGTTGCTGTGAGGTATCAGTACATAAATTTTAAGGTTCAAGATGATGATGATGGTGATGGTGATGTTGAGTTAGCTGAAACCAAAGCTTCTGTATGAGGTGTCTTATGCAATAAAATTGATATTAATAATTTTCCTCATTCAAGATATCATTAGTATTATAATCAATAATATATCTATATAGACACACACGCACAATGAATATCAAGTGATACACGCACATATTAGATATAGTATATTTGCCTTAACATTCCTTGATTAATTTATAAAATTAATGGATCACAATAAAACCTAATATGAACTTAAAGAATTAAATATACACTTTTGCATATTTATTGGGAAAAATTATTTTGTAATTTGGGCCCAAAGAAAGAATATACTCGCCAAAAAATTTCTTAACAAGTTAATCACAAGTTCTAATTTAGAAAATAACAAGATATTTGTGATGCCCGTTTGATACCTTTTGGCAATTAGTTTTGTTTTAAAACCTAATAATGGCTCTCCCCGATTTTAGGACTCAATTGTGTACTTATGTGAGTATGGTAGACAGGATATACGTGTATGTTTACAAACGTGTTCAATAAATTAACATATGAGAGGAGAATATAATATAAGAATTGAGTTTTTAACAAATATTTTGCAAGTAATATGGAGATATTAATAACAAGCAGTGGAGTTTTTAGTAAGCACATTTAAATTATTTTGGAATATTTTTAAACAAAAAATAATATAATGTTAGAATAAGTTATATGTGCCGTGATGCTAAGCTTAGTATGTGTATAGTATATCCCATAAGATGCGTATTTGAGAGTATATATCTAATCGTTTAAAATATTGAATCCTAGTAATGTGGAATTAGATTTAGTAAGAAGCTAATTTATAATAAATAAAAAGACTCGATTCTAACTATCCGTCTTTATTGTACGAACCACCTAAGGGCTTAATTAGTGGTTAATTGGCTAGATCACAAAGTGGACCAATTGAGCTCGAAATACTACCTCTTTAAAAATGACCCTTAGAGAGGGGCATCCTGATTGCAAAGCTTCAATTCAGATTAGTAGGTTGCTCAGATATCTAGTAAAATAAAAATACATTGTTTCATTCAAGAGAGTTGAATGATTGCTCAGATGCAATCCCTAGCTAAAAACAAATCCAAAACTTATTTTAGGTTTTTATCATATACAAATATAATAAGTAAAAATATATTTTTATCATTTAACTTTTTATAGTGTTTCTGTTTGGGAAAATTCCTAATAAAGACAAATAAATAACCTAAGTATTTATTTGGATTATTAAATCTCTCAAACTCTTAATCATGCCACATGACTCAAAGAGGAATTTTAAAATCTTATGAAATGACTCAAATGCCCTTTTTTTAAGAAACCAAAAGATAATTTCAAATCAACATGTGTTTTATTTTGCAGTTAATATGTTTTAATTCTAAATTAACAACTTGATATCTCCATGATACACTTGTAGTAAATTTTTGAATAATATTTGATTACAATACAATTTTGAAAATTAATAAGCTCAATTACATAGTTAACAAGTTTCAATTTTAAATTAACAATGTTATGTCTTCAAAAACATCACTTGCAATAAGTCCTTAAATAAAATTTGATCATAATAGAACCTTAAAAATTAACATGTTCCCTTTCAAAGTTAACACATTTTAATTCTAAATTCACAACTTTCTATCTCTATAGCACTTGCAATAAGACTTTCAATCAAACTTGATTACAATACAACCTTAAAAATTAACATATTTCATTTTGTAGTTAACACATTTTAATTCTAAATTAATAACTTTCTGTCTCCATAATATTTTTAGATTAAAGAAGGAAGATTTAATATATATATATATAAAAAACAACTCATTGTTACCTCATTGATCAATTTTTTGACTTTGAATAATAAACACTAGGTTTCCATTGTTAAGAGTTCTTATGCAACGCGGGAATGATAGAGTCATTTCATGAAATTTTAAAATACCTCTTTAGATCATGTGACCTGATTTATGTTTAGACAAATTTAATGACCCAAATAAAAATTTAGGTTATTTAAGTGTTTTTTCAAAAGGGTTTTCTTTTTTTTGTTTTGTTCATTAATTTTACAAATTATTTTTTCAATCCTCCAATTCTAAGATTGTTAATTTGAAATGATGATTTTTTGTGTCAACTATTGTTATTTTAAGAAATTAAACTTAGGAAAAATCCCCAAAAAAAAGACTGTTGAATTTCAAAATTTCAAATCAGTATCAGTTACTGCATTAGTAAAGAAAATAACTATACTTGAAAAGCAATGGACAACATATTTTCTTAGTAATTCCTGATTTAGAATTTTGAAATTCAAAAATTACTTTTTTTGGGGATTTTCTTTTAAACTTAATATGTTGGTATTTGTGAATGTTTTGTTAACATTTAAACTTTTAATATTATCATTTTTTTTTGTTAATGAAATTGATAATGCTAAGATGAAAGAACCAAAAAAGCATTGTATAAAGTTTTAAAATCAAAATAAAACTTAGTACAAAATGAAAGAATCAAATGTAGAATTTTGCCAATAAATGCAACACCTCACTTTTATATACTAATAGGATCATTTTAACGTCTGTGAATCACTAACGCCAGGTTTCCGTCCTGGAAAAAGACAGGGAAATTTTTTTTTCCTTTAACATTGGAATCCGTTGATCAAATATTTCAAACCTTCAGATAACTGATGAGTGATCCAATATCAACCCTGCTTTCAACTTAATCTATTATCACCTAAAATAATTTCATACTATATAATCTTATAATATTATATTAAAAATAAAGCAACGCTCTTGGTTGACAGCATATACGTGCACCTGGCAATGCTCACTTCCTTCTTTTAGAGGATACAAAATAATATTTCCATAGAGCAAGTAAAGTTACTTGCCCATATATTTTGCTATACAATTTACAGAATTATAACAGGTATCTCTGCTCTTCAACCAGCCCACCTTCTTTTTAAACAACCTCTTTGTCCTTCGGGCTACTAGCTTTCACTGTTCATCATAAATTGGAGGGTGAGATTTGAACGAATCCCCGTAGTAGTAATTTCTATCAAACAAATGTGTAGATTACATAAAGCATGCAAAACAAGCCAAAGTGGAACATAACCTTGCAAGCTAATGCAATTAAGCATTTATGCGCAATGACAGATAGACAAGCTGAATAAATAATGCGCAAATAATTGGCAATCACTGCCCCATGTCTATTAGACAAGCTGAATAAATAATGCGCAAATAATTGGCAATCACTGCCCCATGTCTATTAGACAAGCTGAATAAATAATGCGCAAATAATTGGCAATCACTGCCCCATGTCTATCAGCTACACGTGATCACGGCTAAATAATCCATGCAAGGAATTAAGGATTACATGTTCTCATGCTTTAGAAAAGCAATATGGCACAAACAGACATGCAGCAATCATACACAAGTGTAAGGTAGGAAAGAACTACTACCTGGTCCGCATCCCTCCAAATCAAACCTTACCATTCTCCCTTCTTTCTATTTCTTGGTGGGCTTGAGCAGATATAAAAACCTATCATATTAGTAAGGTAGATCAATACTTCATCCAACTGTATCTCATAAATTAAATAACTCTTTAAATCCCAAATCTTCTTTAATCTCTACCCTTATGTAGTAGTTGATCATCCTGGACAATTTTTCTTATTCAAACTATGGAGGGTTTCCTTCCTTATCTCAACCCATACAGTTACTTTACTTAGTAACATTCTCAATGACTTCACCTAATTCTAACTATCATTAGCTTCAATAATGCTCAAATACTTCCCAATCTAAAACTTCTATATATATCAATCAATACATCACCCATTCCATAAACCTCGCAGCCTAACCTCCTCCTGGAAAACAATTCCATATTCAATATTTTCCATCCCCAACTTCCACGGTCAAAACACACAACAATCAAGTTTATATATATTCGCTTATATAACCCCCAAAATTCTCACTTCGAACGGCCACAAATAAACTATTAAAATTTCCAAATTATAATTATATAACCCAATGGCCATTCATCTATTAAGACCACATTTAAACATTCTTTAAATCATTATCCTATTACTTCAAACCTTTGTACCCCTTTATTTTATGTCTGAAAATTTTCCAGATTTACTATAACTACATGTTCTAATTCAAGTCCAATTCCCCATGTTCTTAGCTACCTTTATAATTCTCACATTTAACTAATTTAATTTAGACTTTATAATTACTTATTAACTCCATCATTGACTTAAGGCATTCAAATTTAATTCAGTAATCCAAAATCATTGCTCAACCTCTAGAATATTAAAGAATGCTCTCTCCATAACACATTGCCCTGCATATACTCGTATCCCTCAAGCTTCCAAGTTCAAGAATAATTCCTACCCATTATTTAACCATCTGAAATTAGTGTACAGCTCTTGAAAACATGGAATACTCATTTTCAAACCATTTCCAACTTCCTCAATATGAACCTCAGAAAATGCAATCCCAAATCTTCCAGCAACGACGACATATATATGAATGTATCTCCCAAGTTCTAACAGCAACAATAACCGTGTGTATAAATATATATTTATATCTATATGTACAGCTCGGTTACTCTGGTATTTAAGAGTTTCATATCTCTCCATTATCCCAAAACTAAACCAGCGGCTTCAAGAAGATAACAGCCCCTGTCTCGGTACCTACAAACCAGAGCAACAGCACATGCAATCTAGAAAATTTATACAGTTGTGTTCACTACTTTACTGTCAGAACCCGACACCCAACACTTCAAAACTTAACCCCTGTTTTCGGTTGACATAAATAGAGCAAGGAACCTACATGCAAGCTTGAAAACCAACATCAAACACTTCAATCTACCCATAGAATCCGAATCCATCGGTCCTCTTATCCTTTCCATCACTTTCTCTCACTACCCTTCTGTCTCTCTCTCCTCAAACCCGCCATAAACATGACCGAAACCAGAAAATGAAAACAGTGATGGACATGTGAAGCTCACCTGATTTAGAATCCAAGTTTGCATGCAAGAAAAACTACCTCCGATCAATTACTCCGTCGCCAA